GTCGGTCCAAAGGAGGGTCAAGTCAGGAAAGGGAGGGAAGACATTACAAAAGCAAAAGCCAGGACAGTGAGGAGGGGTAAGATGCAGCCGGAGCAGCAGGTCTTTCACAGCATGGAGGAGGGGTGAGGCGAACCATGGAACCACAGAAACCACAAAAGAAGGGTTTTACTTCGAGAAGAAGATTTGGGTCACACAGACACCCAAATGAGGTGAGGGGGGAAACAGGGAAACATCCCGCAACACGGCCACTAATGTGCACGGCGCGGAGAAGCATACGGAATCACGTGCATGTAGAAATTAGAATAAGATGTAAATCGGGATGATGATGGCAATGGCCCGTAAGACTGTACGAGCAAAAGTATTGGAAGGGGAGCATGGTTTTTGGTGTCACTGAGGGGGGAAGGTTCCCGGACTCCCCCCCAACCCCACCGGGAGCAAAACACAGTCACGTGATCTGCCCCCACACTGGTTGCCTTGCCCACCGGTCACGTGGCGCCTTGTACGGATTACGATGGCCGGTCTGCCGTACTTGTCCGTGTAGTTGTGTACATAAGCCTTGCCGCTGGCCAGTTCCGCCGCCACCATTTGGGCGGTGGTGGACTGGGGTCTGCGAAGGTGCCAAGAAGCGGGAGAGAAAACAATCAGAGGCGGCGGAGGACGAGGGGGGGGGGGAAAGAGTAATCAGGAGTGAGTGAAGGTCGGGGAGGACGGGGAGCCGGGCAGGGAAGGCAGAAGGTAAAGATGGATGTTCACCCCAGGAAGATGAAGGGGGTTATCTGGAAATAGGCAGGGGGATTGCGGGGCGTTCGAGTTGGGTTTTGGAAATTAGCATCGGATTGGAAAAGCTGGGATTAGGATTTATACACGGAGGTTGGTAGGTAAGGAGGGGTGGGTAGGGGGTTAGGTAGGGGGTAAGGGAGCGAGGGAGGTAAGGAGGGAGGTAAGGGAGGGGGGTAGGGAGGGAGGTTGGAGACGCATGTATGAGAATCTGCAAACCCAAGAGAGCCGTGAAAGGGGCGGTACTGCCCCGGGCCTCCCCCTCCTCCACAGTTCCCCGCCAGGCGATCTCCTCGGGCCCATCAGTTTGTCTCAACGCATGAGCGCAATGATGCCAGCAACGCATACGTGCTTATAACCTTACGACGCGCGACGTGCGCTTCGGCTTGCAATGGTCGTACATGTACAACAGGTGTACGGCGCGGAAAATAACAGAAAGGTGGAGTTTTTGCAGGATGTCTCGGGAAATCCGAGGTCGGGGAAAGGCATGACACGGACACCTGGCGGGGCTTAGGGCTGTCCAGGTGCGAGTAAAGTACCTAGAAGGTGGTCACGTGGCACGTACCAAACCCGCAGTCAGCCTTCATTCCCTTTTTAACAATGGATTGGGCTGTATGCAGATCAGCCTGCTCAGAGTCCCAAGAAACAACATGCAGGCTCGCAAGGGCTCACTGGAAGCTCTGGCGCCATTTCAGCATGCTGCGCAACTTCTGCTCCGCCTCATCCACGTCGAAGTAACGATCACGCAGATACCACTTCAACGTTGCTTCATCGGGAGCAGCTACATCGTTGCGAAAGCGTTGACTCAGTTCTGCAAGTGCCTGAGAACGGGAGGTTGTGGTGACATTTGTAGTTACATCGCCAGCGGGGTGGAATCAAGTGGAATTGGGGTGTGCAAGCACGCCTTACGTCCTGTTGGCTTTGCGAATTCGTCCAAGGCTCGATCCTCAAGCCCGGAGTTGGTGTAATGCTTGTAGCGAGCTGCGGTCCTACAGCGCCAGTCTTGATGGCCCTTTGTGAAAGTGATGAAAGTGATGTGCGTAATTTGCGTGTAGGACACGTTGGACACATTCTTCGGCTGATATCATGTTGCAGCATTTGATACAATGCCATGGTGAAAGCAGATCACTTCCCAAATGCTTTTGAATGTATAGGTTAGAGAGTTCAAGCACAAGATAATAAGAAATTATAACCTCACGATGTGCACGGTCGAAAAAAGCTTATATACACATTTCTTAAACTTTTAAGTTGACTTCAGTCGACGACAAGCAGCCAACGACTTGTTGGCGTACTGCCGTACTTGCTCCTGAGTCGAGCGAACGTTGCTCGCCAATCCTCCCGCTGCGGGGTATGACAGTTCATTATGACCTTGCCACAGGGAGCGATACGTAAATATAGATTAATATGCAGGCTTAGGTTAATATGCCGTCAACTTTCTAGCGAACGTTACCTATCATCATCGAAACCAATTAAAACTAACTATTGCATACGTTTTCATTTCCGAAACTACATATATTAACTAATTATACGTCCTCCACAACGGCCTGCAGAACCTCACACCTCGTTCTGTCCGTACCGTATTGCCGGGTTGAACCCTTTAACGTTGAGTCTATTGGCATTGAAGATTCAAGCATGATCAAATGTCTCTCGGCATAGGGGAGGCCTATTTGCCGGTTGTCCAGATCGGCTTGCAGACTTTATGCATCATAGCAGCAGGCCGTCTAGCTGCCTCACGGGGACTTTTCGACGCGGCGCCAGTATGTCGCACACTGAATCGGTTTGTTGTAGTAGTCTGCTTACCCGCCCTGCAGTTCTGGCTGCTCGCTATAAAAACCGACATGCGCAACATGGAGGTGGGTTTTCCCAGGTTGGGTTTCTCACGCGCAACAACTTCCTGGATACATCAACACTGAATTCTCATATTGCGAAAATGCATGATGCTTAATCGCTGGATGTGGGACGGGCTCAGATTTAAACCGTAAACGCCGCCGGCAGTCTCCTCGGTGACCAGCCGCCTGCCCTTATCAGCGACTCCATGGCATATCACATCGCACACGTGCAAAGCTGGAAGCAAAACAATGCGATTGAGACTCAGCCATACGTAACAATACACAACGATAAATATTCTAATCACAGAAATCGTATTGGCGCAAGTGGCGCCGCTCGTCTCCCTCCTCCAAATCGGTTTTCCTGGTTCCTGACCCCATCCGACTTCTTCCCCCGCTCCACCACAATCCTCCCGCGGGCGCGGTGGTGGTCTTCGTGGCGATCTTTACCCGACGGCCCTCCGATGCCTTGGGGCCCTGACGCGGATGCTGATATTGCTGGTGGTGATGCTGGTGGTGATGCTGGTGGCCGTGCTCCTGCTGCAAAACCCTAAACCCCGACCTACTGCAGCACTGGCGGTAGGTCACGTCACAGCTACGGGAAGTGACATCCTCCACGTCCCCCTCCTCCCCCTGCTGCTAGGGCTGCTGATGCTAGGGCTGCTGCTGCTGCTGCTGCTGCTGATATGATATTTAAATATTTGTATTGTTGACATTCAAGATTTACGGGGGCCCCATGCCCTCCTCCCTTTCCACAGCGCTGTGGGGGCCTTCATGCTGTGGACGTTGCTAGTGCAGATGGGGTGCACAGCCTGGGTGCTCATCTTTGAGGGCGGCAAGCTGAGCAGGTGGGGGATTAAGTGAGTGTGAGTGAGTGTGAGTGAGTGTGAGTGAGTGTGAGTGAGTGTGAGTGAGTGTGAGTGCGAGTGAGTGCGAGTGAGTGTGAGTGAGTGTGAGTAAGTGTGAGTGAGTGTGAGTGAGTGTGAGTGAGTGTGAGTGAGTGTAAGTGTGAGTGAGTGTGAGTGAGTGTAAGTGAGTGTGAGTGAGTGTGAGTGAGTGTGAGTGAGTGCGAGTGAGTGTGAGTGAGTGCGAGTGAGTGTGAGTGAGTGTGAGTGAGTGTGAGTGAGTGCGAGTGAGTGTGAGTGAGTGTGAGTGAGTGCGAGTGAGTGTGAGTGAGTGAGTGTGAGTGGGAGTGTGAGTGCGAGTGAGTGCGAGTGAGTGCGAGTGAGTGTGAGTGCGTGTGAGTGAGTGAGTGAGTGTGAGTGAGTGTGTGTGAGTGAGGAGGTGCTGGTCGGGGCTTCCGGAGGCCCGGGGAAAGGGGCCGGAAGCCGGCAGTGGTCCCTGATGTGGGGGGTGCCTAGGGGCCAGATTAGCGGTCCGTGTTATCGCGTATCGCGTTTTAGGGTTTTAGGGTTTTTAAGAGTTTTAGAGTTTCAGGTCCAGGCTCGTTTTCTAGGAGGGCGACATCGCTTCGACATGCAACCAGCACTAAACAGCATCGAGGTCTGTAGTCGCGTTGACAATCACAATTAATAGCCGAGGTGTACGTATGGAAGCATGACTTGTTTTGCAGGTGGCTGTGGCTGTGTGCGTGGCTGTATGTCTCAGTCGCTCTCTGATGTGGTTCCTTTTGCACATTTCTCTCCCCACATACACACATACATACATGCATGCACGCATGCATACATACACACACATACATACATATATACATACATGCAGGATTTGCGTGCACTCCCTGGTGCTCGCTGCCAACAACACGGGCATCCTGGCCCCTGTGGTTCTGGAGGCGGCGGTGGGGCCCTCCGCCGCCGCCGTGGGTATGCTGGCCACCATTGTCCTCTACTTCCAACAATTACCCGCGGCTATGGTCCTGTTCGAGCTGGACAGAATTAGCGCCGAGCGGGCGTGCGCTAATAGTAACACAAACACCAACGTCAACACCAACATCATTATCAGCGGCGGCGGTGGTGACGGCGGCGGCGGCAGCGTCAATGATGACGTCATTTCACTCGCACAGGCGGCTGCCTACCGGAAGGAAAATGTCGCCCCAACCTCGCACGCGCTCTCAACCTCAGCTCCGTTGATAAAGTTGGGTGTCGGTGATGTTAGTGGTGATGTTAATGGTGATGCAGGCGACGGGGGCAGAGGCTGGCGGATGGGGGATGGGAAGGGGGGAGATCTACATGGTTGCGGCCGGGATGGCGGAAACGGCCACGGTGGCGGCAGTGACCCATGGGCCAGAAGCAGCCCTAGCAAAGGAGGTTCCGGGTGGTCCGGGGAGATGGTGGGTGCAAGCCATGGCGGCGGTGAAAATGGCGGTGGTGGTGGGATGAAGGTACCTGGAGAAGTAGGAGGGGGAAGGACAGCTGCCGGCGGTGGGGTGCCGGTGCTAGTGAGGGGTGAGAGGCTGGGGTCCTCGAAGGCGAATGGGCGCTTGCGGGCTTGGACAGCGGGGGGTGGCAGGAAGGGCAGTGCTACTGCCACCGTCAATGACAGCGGCCGCGACCGCGACGGCGCTACTGCCGCCACCGCTGCAGCAGGAGCCGCGGCACTAGCTCCTGGTGGTGAAGATGCTGACGGCGGCAATGGCGACGGGGTGGAGAGGGCAATGGCACCAGCCGGAATGTCCATAGATCATAACCTGGCGGACGGCGCATGTGCGGACGTGTGTACGGCAAGTACGGCAGGTGTTGCCATGGAGGGCAAAGACCGCCACGGCTTTTGGTCGGCTTTCGGTTCTCCCAGCCGGCCAGACGACCCGAACCTCCACCACCGCCATGTCCACCACCCTCCACAACAAGGCTACCCGCAACAGCTCTTGTCTAGTCGCATCCAGGAGGACCAACACCCCCACTCTCATCGCCGCCGTGCAGTCAATCCGCCGCCGCCAATCTGTCGGCAATCCCGCCAGCTCTTGCCGTACAGCGTCGTCGTCTCTGCCGACACAGCCGTCAGCGTCGACGCCTGCTCCTCTTCTTTACCAGGGCTGCAAAGGGCTATCGCTTCCACTAGTGGCGGCGGCCGCAACGGCCGCTCCGGAACCAGCCCGTCCTTCTCTACCTCCTCCTCCTCCCCATCTAAAGAGGAGCCCAGTTTGCGCCATGTGGCACAGCTCGTACTCGGCAACGCGCTCATGTGGACGACAGGTGCCGCCACGGGCGTGTCAATGTTGGGTTTGCATGCCGTACTTGACCCGGACGTCCCCTCCCACGTCCGGGGGCTACAATTTGTGGAGGGCACCCTCGCCTGGCTGGCTAAATGCTCCGTGCCTGTGTCCCTCTTCGCCATGGGCCTCTTCTCGTCCAACACTGGACCTGGTTGCGGCGTCGATGACGCGCGCTCGGCTCGTACTGTCGTGTCGTACTTGGCGGTTAAGTTGTTGGTATTGCCCTGGGTGATGGTCTTTGTGAACAGTTTACTTGGTCTGGATGGGCAGTTGGCGCAGGCGCTGTTGGTGTTGACGTGCGTGCCGGTGGGCCAGAACGCGTTCCTGGTAACGGAGCAGTTTGGTGAGGGCGCGGAGGTGGTAACGGCGGTGATGCAGGCGGGGTTGCTGTTGATGCTGCCGCATGTGGCGGGGTTAATGGCGGGGTTGCGGTGGATGGGGCTGTATCAGGGCGCAACTACGTGAACTACGGAATCTTGGGGAAAACTATGTGTGTTTGGGGGGGTGGGTGAGGGAGGTGGGTAATGCTGTGATGAACTCTGCCTGTGTGGTGAACTCTGGGATGAGGTCTGACTTGATTTTGTTGAGAATGGACGGGGAAAGGTGGAAAACAACGGTAAGACCTTTTACAAAGTAACGAAACGGTTTCATGTGTTGACCTCTTGTAATTGAAAAATTCATTAAAATCTCCGGAACCAGGTCACACTGTTCATGTGGGAGTGCTGCATTCATCGACATGCTTTTCCACTACTGCGGATATTATAATCTTAATGACCAGCTTTACACTTCATTAGAACGGGCGCAGCGTTAGATATTTTGTAAGTGGAGACTTTTGCTACACAGGCATGCAGCGGACAGTTCTGAATTCAAACACTCGTACAACCCGGAACCCGAATGCCGAGTCCGGCCTTCCAGCCTTTGTCTTTGCCTTTCAGCTCTACTTTCCACTGGTGTCCTTTGAGAAGTACGCGCTACAATAGCTATCTTGATAAGAGGCATGTTCTCCCGCAAAGCCTGCGATTTCTTGGGTTATCCATAACTATAAAAACAAGTTTTGCCGGTCTGACCGAGAACTGCGAGGTAAAACGCGATTTCGCAATCCATGTACCTCGGCAGTTGCTTGACAGTTAGATCGAAGTCAAAGTCGAAAAGGCAAATTGTTGTCCCCACACAGTGACACTGCGAGGTAATGAGTTACGTTTGTAAGGCTGACTCCAATCAAGCTGTTGACTGAGGTTATTCTTAGCTTAAGTTGTCCTAGCAATCGAGAAGCAGGTCACGCAGTAGTGGCCAGGCTGAAATCATGTTTGGTCAGGCAGGAAACTTAATCATACTTGGTGTAATGGCAGCGTTTCTTTGTTCTACGCCCATGCTGAGCGGAACGGCACCGGCCTCGGTGCCCATGCACGCGCATTCTCACGACTTCGGCGCAGACTCCGGCGACCATCAGAACGTCATGCAGATGCAGATGGTTTTCGATTACGGCTACAAAACGACGTTGTGGTTTTCTTCCCTAAGAACCGACACAATCGCATCCTACATCGCCGTGCTACTCGGCCTTGGTCTTCTCGCATTTGTACACGAGGGCCTCACAGTTTATCGCAAGACGCGCGCGACCACACTTGGATCTTCTGCTGACGCGCTGGAATTTGGACTGCGGGAGCAAAAGTGAGGTGTACCATGTCGCTGATTTCTCTCGCTCCTCGTACACACGTAATACCGCTAACATGCGTACATTAATTACTGCACACACACAGACAATGCCACGCTCCTGCCTTCGCTCTCCCCGCTGCACCTTAACCTATTTTCCTTGCGTTTGTTGGGTCCCGCTGCTTTTCCTCCTTGAGCTGCTTCCCACACATGCACCGCTGTCCATCTTCCCCCCCCCACACACACCTTCTCCCCAACCCCACGTGCAACCTGCCACTTCAACTTTTTTTAATTTTAACTGGTAACGAACGCCGATAACAATGGTTCCCCCTGTCCTTCTGGCCTCCCGGGCCCTGGCCCTATCTTCACCGTCACCTAAATGGGCACATGCAAGGTTGGCTGCCGTAGCCGGCGGTACTACTCTGGGGCTCTCTGGGGGCGGAGGCTTCCTCCCGTCTTCCGAGCGTCTGGCCCATGCCGGTCTTTATGTTGCCAGTTTGGGTTTATCGTACATGCTGATGCTGGCAGTCATGTCCATGAACGCGGGTGTGTTTGTGGCTGTTTTGGCGGGTTTCGGAGCGGGATTCTGTGCCTTTGGGGGTGAGAGGGGCCCGCTGGGGGGTCGCAGTGACGCGTGTCACGGCCAATGATGATGATATGGTGATGGTAATGATGATGATGATGATGTGTTCATGATGCTGATTGCGATACTGCTGGTGATAAGAGTGTTGAACGTAATGATGATGATGATGATGGTGATGATGATGGTGGTGATGATGGTGGTGATGGTGGTGGTGGTGATGATGGTGGTGATGATGGTGGTGATGATGATGGTGGTGATGATGGTGGTGATGGTGGTGGTGATGATGGTGGTGATGATGATGATGATGGTGATGATGATGGTGGTGATGATGGTGGTGATGGTGGTGGTGATGATGATGGTGATGATGATGGTGGTGATGATGATGGTGATGATGGTGGTGATGATGATGGTGATGATGATGGTGGTGATGATGATGGTGATGATGATGGTGATGATGATGGTGGTGATGATGATGGTGATGATGATGGTGATGATGATGGTGATGATGGTGGTGATGATGATGGTGATGATGATGGTGATGATGATGGTGGTGATGATGGTGGTGATGATGGTGACCGGATGATGTAACCGGGAGGGATTAAGTTCTTGAAGAAGAGGAACTGCAAGGTGTGGTACTCAGGCGATGCCTCCTCATGCGCAGCGTCAATCTTCATGAGGGGTGGTGTTATTGTTGCTGTCATATTTGCCGGTAGTGGACTTCATGTACATGCCCAGCCAAGGCTGACGAGGGACTGTATGTACGTATGTATGTATATACGTTCATGGGAAGGCCAGTGCCGAGATGGCTTCTATAGGTCTTTCAAAACACAACTCAGGTCCGGTCAGGGTGCATGCATGCACGCGCGATTGTGTGGCCGGGTGGAAGGGGGGGGGTAGGGGGTTAAGGGGGAGGGTTGCAGCCCGGTCAGGATGTGGCGGGTCGGGCCGGGTCGGGCGCAGGATACGGATATATAGGAAAGAGTAAGATAGGAAGTGTGGACCCCCTTCCAGGATACGGATGGCAGGCAGAGGGCCCAGGATAATGGCGCGGCAAATTTCTTTGGAAGGGTCGACGCCAACTCACCAAGGATGAGGATGGCGGGGGGGAGGGGATGCCGTCACCCAGATGCGGGATGTGTGGCTCGAGGGATGTGAGGAGTGGGGTCGTGTAGGGTTTGGTGGTATGTATCCAACCGACAGGATGCGATGGCAGACACACCCACACATCCACCCACCCACCCACACACACCAGGGATGCGAGGATGGTGCGGCGCTCTGCAACCCGCCTGCGTCTGTTGTAAAAGTTGTAAAAGACGTTCGTTTCCTCTTGAGCCGAATAAGCAGAGCGGACTTGTGGATTATGTAAAACTGGGTCTCTTATCAGGGTTGGGGTTTAAGAGGGGAATTTGTTAACGTCGTGAGAGGACGGGAATGACATGCTTGCCGGGTAACAACAAGGGGAAGGGGTGTTGGCGGGAGAGGTGGGATGATGACGTGCACGTGGCCCCTTCGGGGATGAACTAAAGGGGTTCCCCTTCGGCATCATCCCCTAAAGGGGAACTAAAGAATAGGTGATGAGAAGTTGATGATAGCATGTCAGATGACGCTGAGATAACACCGATGATGATGTCGTCGGTTGATTGATGTTTGGTCAGCCTGGCTTCACATCAATTGATTGATGCGGTTAAATTTTGATGTTGACGACGAGGCCGTCATCACCGGAGAAAGCCCATACTAACGTAACCGCGGTTTATGTCGTCGCGACCTGGCCAAGAGTCCTAGAGGCATTATTGTTTTACTCCGCTTTTTTCCACGTAAGAAATATTTTTTATATCTGTTTGGTTCTCTTTTTTCTTGTATCGACTCGCACAAATAGTCTCAAACAAACATACGTGAGATTACTTTGAGGATACTACTTAGCTGCAGTAGATCAATAAATAGCACAGCCACCGCATTTGTTGACATCCCCTTACCCGTCTTTTGAGGAGAATTCAACGAGCTGTAACCACACAGGGGTAGTAATTTGCGTGACGTTGAAAATCAACTATTACTTCCTAATATGCGTTGAATCAGAGGGTTGTCTAATTTACAGGTGCCGTACCGCCGTACGCACACGACGCATCTTTTGAAAATTCTCAAAGGGATATTCTGCGAGGGACCTGGGGGCCTTCTCAGCTGCGAGGTGGACAGCTTTATATACAAACAGACAGACAGACAGACGCACCGAAAGGTAACAAGATCCGCACTACTGAACGTTTGCACAGCCTACTTCACGAGCTGTGTTTTATCCTAGGTTCCCTCCTAACGCGCACACATGCACACATGCACACACAGGGGGCTGTGTGGAGGTTCGCAAGCGGGTGGTTCTTAGAGGGCTCGGCGGGTAGGAGGACGGTCAGTTCAGCCAACTTCCTGGCGATCTAAACGTCAAAAGTACGACAAGAGGCAGTAGCAGTGGTGGCAACCGTATCAGTAGTAGCAGCAGGCGAGTCGCGATAGTAATAACACTCATTCAGGGACATTCCATCAGGGCAACACTCCACTTCTTTCGGGCGTTCTTTTCTGAAGTATCAGCATCCCATATCTGCTTCACGAAAGCTGGTTTCGCGTCTGGTTCGCATCGCACACAAAGATAAGGGAAGGGTTACCAAGGGAAAGGTGCCGTACGTACTGTTTTTACACTTTTTGCAACTCATTTTTCCCCCAAATGGCGAACTTTGCAGCGGCGACATGGCCGTACAGAGCCATGGCCGTACAGAGTCAAGCGAGGAGAACAGGCACTGCGGGGCAACAAGCAGTCGTACAATCACGAACGCGCATTATGTGCGCACCCCGGCAGAGGATGACGCCGTTGCGGCGGCTGAAACGCCCTCCGGGCTTGACCACTCGACGATGGCGGCGGCGCTAGCGGCGGCGGCTGCGACGGGTGGTTCGGTAGCGGCGGCGCAGCTAGGGACACGTGGATCATCCACTGGTCGTTGGCCGTTGACGGTTGTACGGCTGGCGGTGCTTGTAACGGCGGTGCTGTTCCTCGCGGCAGTGGCATCGCAGGTGGGCGGGTGGTCGTACGGGTGGATGTCAAAACGTGTGTTGGGTCGTCGTAGTGTACTCTGTCGTACTCTTGTCGTACTCTGCTCAGTCCTGTAAAATAGATACATCATTATTGGTCTATGCTGCACGTCAATATACAAACCGAATGGCAGACGTGCGACGTGTGGCGCCATACGTAGAGGATTTCATGCTACAAAGTTAGATAAGTAGGTAGGTAGGTAGGTAGGTACTTGGCGGTACGCACACAACGACCCGCGGGTCGTTCCCATCTACACGGCCGTATGCCTCGTGGGTGGTGTTGAAATGTGTATTCACCATAGGGAACAAAAAAAGAAAAGAAATTTAATATCAAGAGGCCGGCGTAGTGACTGTCAGGGGCTTCGGTGTCGATTGTAGTACGATTGGAGTACGACTCCTAGTGTCACATCATAATCCCAGCCACGTGTTCAAGTGGCCCAGAAGCCTCCCACTCTGTAACAATTCAATTCAACCTAGTAATCCCAGCCTGTGCTTCCGCTGTGTGGTGAGCTACGCCGTTTCATAGCCTGATGAGAGCTCTCAGCTCCTCCCAAACCTCCCTCTTCCCTGTCCCTCTGCACCCATGCACATGGACACACAACGGCGGGTGTGTAAACATTTGGATACGGGGGATGCGCCATGGAACGGAACATCTGTACGTTGGTACGACACAGGCGTACGATGTTTCGCGGTTGCAGTTCCCAACGCCGTACTACAGTCCAGTTCCGGTGCTCGTTCTGGGCTCCAGTAAACCGCTTCCAAACGAGCCCAAGGCCGCTGCTGGACTGCTAGTCAGCGGATGTAGCGGTAACGGCACCAGCAAGGCATCTAACGGTACGGCAAATGGGTATAGTACGTGTGCGATGTACGGCAGCAAAACCGTGCATGTAGCTGGAAAGGACTTTGGCTCTCGGAAGGTTATCTCTTATCTTACATTATAATTAAAAGGTCGATGAGTCACTTTGAAGCCTTTTGGAACTCCTCCGTAATCATGCTGTGACCATAAATATTAAAAACAATTTGACGCGACAGCGACTTCTGAAGGATTGAAGGGACATTGATCTGCTGTATCGTTAAATGCTGAGGCCGCTGCTGTTGGAATGGAAGACTCCAGGCGAGTGCTTGTTTAAGCTCCTCCTGCCCTTGAGAACGGGAAAATCGCTGTGACCCTGACATGCTAGCCGGATATTTAAGTGGGTCGTATATGTATATAATGTATATGTATATAATATAGTAAATATTATATATAAATGATACATGGTTATAATTATTACGTATAAACATACATAAATAATTATATATGATGTATATGTAATATACGACTCGGCCACGCTATTACCGAGCTAACATCCTTACGGCGGGCTACTGGAGGGATCTTAGGACTGTTTATCGCCTTCGCCCCCAAAAATCTGTTGAATAGCCGCACGAGCAAACCCGCAAATGTGACTCCCGTGAGCCCGTGAACCCCTTCACGACCCATATATGTGTGACCCACGGGTCATGCGGGTCGGTCCTAGGGAGCCGCGGAGGCGAGGGCGGCAGTGGCGGCGGCTGGGGCAGCTGCTGCCTGGGGTGCGGCCTGAAGCCTCAGCTGATGAAGCCGGTGGGCGCCGAGCTGCGAGGTCGCTCCTCGCAAGCAGCCGACAAGAAGAGCTTCACCATCGTACGTGTGGAGGTGGTTGTGATGCTGTTGATAAAAATGACCGTCAAGGCGTGTCGATGTTGAACATGGAAGGCCGTGTGGTGCTCCTATCTGTATGACCTCCAGTACGGGCCTCGTAAAGGAGGCCCGTAACGGAGGCCCGTAACGGAGGGGTAAAGAGCGATGGCAGGAGGTTTGCGCACCCCCGATAAAACCACGGGAGTTTCATGAATGTCCACCAAAGGAGGTTTGGGAAAGAAGGAAAAGCATGAGGGGAGCAAGAGAAGGGATCAGGGGAGAGGGGGGGAGGATTCGTACAGAATGTACGATGAGGAACGGCAGGGGGACCCGGGGGG